AGTAGGGTAGGGAAGAACAGTAAGTTGTGAAAGGCCTTAAACTAAGTGCTATAAAGTCACCGAAAGTAACTTCAAGGTCACTGTTATGTGTGTTCTCTCAGCTCTACTGTGCACAGACTGAAAGTTGGATGTGCTTCGAGAAGATATTTTGAGTAGTTAAGACTTCAACTGCTCGGGGGCTGGCGAGATGGCTCAGCGGTTAAGAGCACTGCCTGCTCTTCCAAAGGTCCTGAGTTCAATTCCTAGCAACCACATGGTGGCTCACAACCATCTGTAATGGGGTCTGGTGCCCTCTTCTGGCCTGCAGGCATACAGACAGACAGTATATTGTATACATAATAAATAAATAAATAAATAAGTATTTAAAAAGAAAATTCCAGGACAGACAGGCTCCAAAACCACAGAGAAACCCTGTCTCGAAAAACCAAAAAAAAAAAAAAAAAAAAAAAAACTTCAACTGCTCACAAATGGCACCTCTTCTGAATCTTACAATTTATTAGTCTCTCATAGGACAGTGTTGTGGGGACCAGCCATGACAAGCTAAGTATGAACAGGTCACCCAAAAGAAGTTCTTTATTTCCAACCATTATCCCCTGCCAGAGTAGAAATCAGCTCTCTATAAATTTAATAAGAGCTTTGAGTTTCAGTAGTTTACCCTAAACAATGCCTGGTTGAGGAGAAACAATAAGCACCCAACCCCCACACCAAGAACAGACCATTCAAAGGAAATGCCTAACATTTCAACTGCTGTAGATAGGATCATCTGCCAGCACACCTCACCAGGACACCCCTAGACGAATGTCAGCCAATCAGGGGTCCTGAACCTCAGAGACCCCTCACCCCCACCTTTAGTACTATAAAAACCCAATTCTAATTGAGCTTGGGGCTCTCCAGTTATTCCAATATGTAGGACAAGCGGAGAGACCAAGTTTGCAAACCTGATTAAAATAAAGGCTCTTTGCTTTTACATACGGGACTCAGTTTCCTTGTTGGCTTGTGCAGGGACCTCGAGGATTTGGGCTTAACAGTGCCAGGTTTAAGACCACTTTCAAACACACATTTGAACACTGTGATTATCAGACCCAAACCAGAAGTCAGTTGAAATGAGGATGGTCATCAGATGTGTGTATAATGATCCCGTTTGGTTAGGGAGTTAAAAGCAACATGTCACTCTTATTGGCAGCTCTTTAGGAGGGAGCCATGTCTTGCTGAAGAGTGCCTCCGTTTGAAGGAGTGGTTCACGGATGATGGACACAGAGCTAATGAGATCTCTGCAGCAGGAAGTGCTGCCATCAGGAGCTTCTCCTCCAGTGCAAACATTTCCTGTTTCAGAACCCTTACCAGCCCCATAAAGGATTTGGGCTTCAGAGAAAAATCCAGAAAAGCTGATGTTTCAGACTAAGCAAAGAGACGGATATGTTCAGTCATGGGCACACATTCTGAGCAGCCCTATAATACGAATACGAACCGTGATGGACGGGCTACCGTCTATGACTCATGACATAAGAAGACAGTCCACCAAAAAATCCATAGGTAAGTAAAAATTATAGCCCTAGTATTTTATTTGACAGCGTTGCTTCCAGATGTGCAAAAATCCATTTGCAAAAATTACACATCAAGATGTGACATGAATCTCTGTCAGGAGCACCTGGGAGGGCAAAGCAAGACGCGGTTAAGCAAGCTCAAGACTGGACAGGCTATGCAGCAAGATCTTGTCTCAACAAAACGATAAGCATGCTGCTGCTGCTGCTTTGGGAGGCACAGAACAAGGAGAGCCGATAGGAAAGTTGTAAAAGCAAGGGCTAAGCGGACAGAAGACGATAGTTTCATTATGTAAACGGGCTGCAGCAGGGGTGGAGACCAGAGTGATGTAGGGTTGGATATGTGAACAGAATAGCCTGTGGTAGGGCTGCAGCAGGGGTGGAGAGCGGAGAGGGAGCGATGTGGGGTTGGATACATGAGTATATTAACCTGTGATAGGGCTGCGGCAGGGGTGGAGACCAGAGTGATGTAGGGTTGGATATGTGAATAGATTAACCTGTGATAGGGCTGCGGCAGGGGTGGAGAGCGGAGAGGGTGTGATGTAGGGATGGATATGTGAGTAGAAATAGCCTGTGCACAGCTTCAGGTCTGCCGGAAGGTGCTGTGCATGCTGCCTGGTGTGACGCCATCATTCATCTTCCCTAGCTGTGAACACTGCGAGTTACCGTAATGATTGGCCAGACAGGATCACTGATGAAAATGTGGCCTGACCACCATGGGTGTGACCAACTGCTTCCTGGTTAAAGTCTGTTCATCAAGATGAAACCCATATTTGGCATCAATATTGGGCGAAGAACCTGTGATTAGATAGGCCCTAGGTAGAAACTACAACTCTTATTCTGTTAAATGGACTTAATACTAAACCAGCTCCTAATGACTTATTGTTAGAGCCATAGATTATGATGCCAAAGTTGTTTTATCTTTGGCTGCTAATTTTGTAGTGATTAGCATATGAAAATAATAGAAAATACGAGTTTAGTGCTAACAAGGAGGTATTCCTATCACAAATACCTAAATACATAGGAGAGACTTGGAATTTGTTGGCTGTCAGTGGAAGCTGGGAGAAGCGTGGAGGGCACTGTGGAGAAAGGAATCAATGCTGAAAATATGACTCTTTTGCCAGCGCCTGTCATGGCTAAGGAGAGAGACATGGGGGTAGTAAGAACACCCAGTCTGGGCAGAATTTGGACTCCGACTGAGCAGGCTATCCCAGGACACTATGTGCCAGTTCTGTACGTTAACTAAAGTAGTAACATTTCCAACGCACCTTAAGAAAGTTCTTCAGGTTTATGACAGGAATGTTTTGTCTGCACGTGCGTCTGTGCATCACAAGTGTGCCCACTGCCCAGCAAGCAGAAGAGAGCACTGGGTCCTTGGAAACTGGCATTACAGGTGGTTGAGAACTTCCGGCTGGGTGCTGGGAACCACACATGGATCCTGCGTAAGAGCACCAAGCTTCGTGAGGAGCTGATGCCCTTTCAGAGACAAATGGTGGGCACTCAACTTTCTAAGCATTTCTAATCTGCTTTGTGTGTCTGTTCTGGTGTCACGGATGTGGCCCTTATGGGTGTGTTTGAACGTATGTGTCTGTGTGCATGGGAGTGTGGTGGCTACAAGTTAACCACTTGTATGCTCTTTCTCAGGAGCCGTCCACTGCGGACTTTTGAGACAGGGTCTCTCATTGGTACGGAGTTCGTTGACTAGGCCAGGCTGGCTGGTCAGTAAGCAACAGTACGTTTTTTTCCATCTCCCCAGCAATGGAACCACTAGAGCACACTACCACACTGGGTTTTCTATTTCGATAT